GACTATGTATGTAGACATAACAAACATACTAATTGAACCAATGCTGCATCAACATACCACGTGACACACAAAAAATATATTATATATATATATTTTTTTTAATATTTACTTTTAACTTAAGAAATTAACTAATGTATAATAGTAAAACTTGAATTATAATGTACAATTTGATACCAATCTTATAGACATACATTCATAAAACAATAGTTCAATAAAATTTTGAATGAGAGTCTACAAAGTGATGACATGGCATTTGACCCATGACCATATGAAGACCTGTGAAGGTAGGGCTAAAGGCATAGGGTGGACTAAAGGATGGAAATGGGAAGAAGCCTGAATCCTTCAAGAGACAAGAGAGCCAGAAGGTGGAGATAATGGTAATAAATGTTTATAAAGTAGTCCATATGCCAGCCTGGAGAATTTCCTCTAGTGGCCAATGAAAATGGGCCTCTATAGAATGAGTCAGGTGTTTTACCTGGTGAGAAGACACGAAAAAGCCAACATCTATCCATCTCTAGGTGGAGTGAACCATCCAGATAACCTGGCAGATCCATCCAGTAAGGGTGGAAGAAGAAAGTATCTAGTAGAGGAGGGGTCCCAAAAAATTAAAAGACAGTGATAGGAACCCTGAAAAGAGAGAAAGTACGAGACAGATAACGAACAACCCAGACTGGGCACAGAAGTCTGTCTGAGTCAGAACATCCATAAAGTTGGGATATGGAGGGAAAAGAAATGAGAGAAAAGGTGTGACCACCTTCTCAGCAGCTGAAGTCTTACACAGCATAAAGAAGAAGGTATGAGTGGTGGAAAACTTAGGGAGGAGGTTATGGTATAGATGTTGGATCAATGATGACCACAGATAAGAAAAAGAAAGAAATTGGTTTTAAAAGAGAGGTAAGAGAGCGAGAGCTAGTGGCAAGAGGCTCAAAAGGGTCTTGAGTAAGGGCATGAATAATGGCATTCAAGTACCAGTCAATTAAGGGAATGAATGAGAAGAGGGTGGTAAGGACAGATGAAAAGAAAATATTGCAGTACTGGGAAAGGCAGAATGTGATGGATAGAGCTGCTCAATATTTTGCAATAGTAGAGAAAGACAAGCCATGATTGAAGAGACAAGTGAAGAAAGAGGTGAGGTGTTGTAAGGTAGATTGGCCAGGTGGGAAGTGTTGAAGGAGAGACCAACAGCAATAAGCTCACCATTTCTATTGGCACACAGAAGAAATGGAAGATCAACATGAGTGGGAGAGAAGGAAGGCTACACATTTGGAAAGTTCAGTTGAACCTGTAATGGACCAGACAAATCACACACGTAAAAATGAAGGGATGTCACATTGTGATAAAGGAGTGAAGTGTATGGTTGTACCAGAAGGGATGGAACGGTGGAATGGGTGGCTTGGTTAAGAGAAGACATAGTAGTGGAAATCAAGGTTGAGTGGGCCACCAACAGTACACTGCATGGGGCAGTGTACTGTCAGAGAAAGTGGAAAAGTGGATTGGAATAGAGGAAGTGATGAGAGCATCTATAGCCAGGGCTGATGGATGAGAAACAGCAGACCAAAAAATATGATGTTTGGCATTGAGAGGAATAGCAAACACATTTATTTGAGGAGTACCAAGTTGGAACAAATCCTATTTCAAATGAAAGACACAGTTCCTGTGGATGAATTTGAGGAATGTTTTGATGCTGGGGCTATATGGAGAAATGCATCCGACACATCTATTTTGGTCAGTGATAGAAAGACCAAGAAAGAGAAATAATTCTCCATCTGAAAATGAGTGAAAACCAAAAACCAATTGATGGAACATATTTCAATTATTGGGAGCCAATACTTGCTCTTTTTGGAGAGAGTGAAGAAGTGACAGTAGTAACCAGGAGATTCGGCAGTTTGTTTTTCCATCAGGTCCAAAACTGCCCCTTCCAGATGCTGAAGAAAGACCCTGGGTTAGGACTTGAATGACCCATCTGTTGGAAGCATTTGAGAGGATCAAGGACCCCACCAGACTTTTTGTTGGAGAAAGGGGGCAAAATAAAAGCACTGAAGGAAGGAAATTGAACTTGGGAAAGAAGGGTATCAATTCCCAAGAGTTCCCAACAACAAAGGTACCAAGTGAAAGAGAAAGAGCAGAAGAAGTGGAACAGGCAATGGAAGAGAAAAGAAGTACTCAAATATTCCCAGAAAATTTGTCAGGGGAATGGTGAAACAAGGAGAGGTACCTAAGAAGGGTAGTAAAGAAGGTTCGAAGTCAGGAGAACTGGGGTCTCAACAGAGATAGAACTGACAAAGAATACCTTCCCCCCCCCCCCAAACCAGCAAAAGAGACTCCATGTGTTGGGTTTCAAGGAAAGGGAGAGTGACCATATGTAATGAGATGGGAATCAGTCAGGTGGAGAAACAAGATAGGAGGTTAAGTGAATGAAGTTGAGTGAAAAATGAGTTGGCATAGATAGATATATCAGAGGAGGGACGAAAACAAAGAAATCACGAGAGAAAGGGTTATGTAAGACAGAATGGGAGGCATCATAGGTTATGGGGGACAAAGAAAGAACAGAACATACCTGGGTAGTGAGTTTCTGGAAATCTGAAGAAGATTAAGAAAGTCTGGAGGTGGAAAAAAAACTTTAAAAAGCATCTTCCTCAGCTTCAGTATCAAAAGAAGGGAGGGAATTACGTGGTAGGGATAGATGTAGAGGACCCCCCACACACACACAAGTTGGACCATGGCTGTTACATCCTCCACTGATAAAGAACTTCCAGAATTATTGGAAATTTCATCAGCATGAGTAATATTTTCACCCACCTCAGTTGAAGGAAAATTCACATTGAATTGTGAATTCATGATGATTATATTTAAACAAAATCATTGTAAGTTCTTTAACACATCTTGACACAACTCTACTGAGGAAAAGAATGAGGATTCTTATGCATGAATATAGAAGGAGAATTTATTCAAGGATATGTGTTACACTCCTATTCTTGAAGGGTTTTACTGCATGATACATCACTATTTGGTAGTGCAAATTCATGTGATACACGTGAATTTAGGTGGGAGTTTCACAAGATTGGTGGCATGCAAATCCCTCAGGCAGATATGCATGACTTCAAGAGGAAAATCTGTGTATCGAGGTGATTTTATTTTTTTCTTAACCCTATGACAACCAGGTCCTACAATTTATAGGACCTAACATCATTAACATTATACCTCATTTCAAAAACGAAAAATTTTGGATGAAATTGTTTCAAGTTTAACAAAAATCTTTCTAAAAGTATGTAGTTTCAGAAAAATAAAATATTTAATTTTGATTTTTTTCTACTGTTGCTAATAACAATTCATTATCTAATGTACTTATTTGTACACAGGCTCTGAATAGTTCATCTACAAGGTAATTTTCATTTTGAGTATAAAAATACTATTTATTATCTTAAAGTTTTCACATTTAATTTGCATGATCTCTAAAACCAATGAAATGAATTTCAAAAGTTGTTTAAGGTAAATGTTTATATTTTATTTTCCATTTTCTCTACTACATCACTAACTCTAGCTATTATTATCAATATTCAATGCAATGAAATCTTCAAAGTTAAGAAATGGAAATATGTACTTACCTTTTATCTCTTTGTTGAATAATCTTAAAATATATTCTTTGGTTCATACGTATAATTTCAAGTTTTCATCTTTTAAAATTTTTTAAATTTTTAATGTTTTATTTTCCTTTTCAATTCTTTATCTTTTATTATTTATGTCAACACACTTCAACAGGTCCCTGAGAAACATTTTTATCACAGAGAGTCTGCTTTAGCTTACATAATGTTTGCCCTTGTCTCTTTTTATAACCCATGACCAGCAAAGCAATGAGTAGAAAAACTTAAATTATCATTAAACCTTTCAAATATGAATTTAAAAACAAAATACCTAATTAACTAAAATATAAAAGTAGAACCTAAATGCAACTTAACTGTCTATAAGCATGGCAGTCAAGTTATAACTGTTGCTTATCAATATAGCTTCTACTTTGCAAGTGGGCATGGCTCTTGAAATGAGGAATTTTGACAATGGTTTCCTCAGGGACAAGTTCTTGGAATGTTTTTGAATTACTTGTAAACAACCTGTATATGCTGTATTTTGAATGTATCTAAGAGAACATCTACATTACACATACAATTTATTCTATACCAGCTCTTAAAGTTGATATTTGTAACTGTGAGTACTTTACGTGACAAGATAAACTGGTTTTAAATTACTGTTTTAGAGGTTTCTTTTGAATTAAAGGAATAATAACTTAAATAATACAAAACTTTGAATTACAAAGTACTTGATGATAATAATTTCATTAAAATACATGGAGAGTAAAGCAGTTTAATTAAATTTTGAATGTAATGCTGTACCATGTGCAGAAAATAATTTTAAAATGGTACAGGTTGGCATAGGGTTAAACTGCTGACTAGAGGGAAGGCAATGGCCTGGCAACTTCTTTTTTTTATTGTATGTACCTTTGTTTGAGGAACAATGTTCTCATCAATGGATGAAGTTCAATAATCACCCAGCTACACTTAGTACTTAAAGTTTATATGTTTTAATGCTTTATTTTTAATTTACTTCCTAACACTTTTAAAGAGCCACCCTTTATTTTCCTGAGGAGAACATATTTATATTGAACATTTAACAACTTATTTTTAAAATCCTCACACATCTGAAAAGTATCTCCAATTAAATTAATGTCCAATTTATTAAGCTTAATTCCTGTCTCTACTTAAGGCTACATTGCTACTTAAAAAATATTAATTTATGATTTATCTACTGAACAGCATACACTTGAAAAGCTCTAAAACTTGCTGAGTAAAATCCAAGAAAATGTTTACATACATCAACTTCTAACACATGCCTAAAAATATTTTTTGCCAACCTGAAAGCCAACACATTACAGTACCTTGTTTCTCTTCTTCTGACAATGGTGTTTCCTGATTGGTGTTTGTTGTGTCCAAATATTCACTGTCTCTATCAACTGGCATAGAATGTTGCAGTATAGTATCTTTCTCATCCTTTTCAGTATCTTCTTTACCATCAATATATTCTTTTTCCACTGCTCTCTCCGACTTTTCTATATCATCAACAATTTCATGTAACAAAGATGTCTTCCTGAAAGAAGCACCTTCTCCTGCAGATGTAGGCTTTTGTATATCATTAGGAGTACTATCTTTTTTATATTCTTCTGATAATGATGCAGTTTCACCTTTCTCAGTCTTGAAATTAACTAACTGATGGTATTCGTGACTAGATACATATTGTGGCGTGACTGGACTAGATTGAGCATCAACACTTTCCTTATTATTAATATGTGAATCTTCATAACTTTGAACTTTCTCTACTTTATTGTGTGATTCCTTAGAATCTGTTGGAACAGTTTGTTCACTTTCTTGTTTCTCAGGTGCAGAAACACTATTTCTATTTGAATCCCCTTGTTCGGATATGGATTCTGAATCAGCCTGTACTGGGAGTGTGTTGCTATGGCCTCCTGCAGTCAATGCTACAGTAGAGACTTTAAAAATTAAGAGAAAGGCCAGCAATAAATAGAAAGTTACTACAGATTCAAGGAATCTGTTGGTTACCTTCATGGTGTTAGTGTTTTCAGTATCAAGTTGCCAATGATGGTAACAGTAACAATAAACCTGTAAATAAGTAAAACACAAAATTACTTTTGAAAATTAAATTTTATCCTTAAAAATAAGATACTCTGTAAGATACAGCTGGCTCTTTAAAAACTATTTCATTTTACGTAAAAATAAACAAATAATCAAAAAAAGCCAAATTTGCTTCATACTAATACATTTTGATATTACTATTTCTAGGAAGAGCTGAATCTACTGGTTTAAATTTAAGGCAAATTCAAATTGTCAGTAATACAAAGAATACTTTTATGGAGGAATGCAACATCTGTGATTCAAAAGTTAACATTTTCCTTACCTGAAATGCATTTCAGATAGATACTTATCACTCTACACCACAAAGTACATGCTAACTTGTAATGCACCAACTTATGATATAATTATTATCAGACTGTAGCCCTCCACCATTAGGAGGGCAACACATCTTCCACAAGCAGTGATACTCATGACCACTAGCATTTTAACATAGGCTCATTCTTAATAAATGAAACCAAATGAACTGAAAGTGAGGAAGAAAGGTGGAAAGTGGTGCAGAAAGGTATCAACCTGAAATACCTTTTCAGGTGAGGAAAAATGTTAACTTCAGAATGCTACTCACCTCTCAGCTAAGTCCCACACTAAAGATGGAGGAAGAGCTTGTCCAGAGAAATATATTACAAAAATGAGATCCTTTCAGAAAATAACATCAGAAATTCCCAATGTTATTGAGATATCCATTATTAGGAGAGGAAGGAGAGTGAAAGAATATATCATAAGAGTCTTTTTCATGGTGCTAAAATGTCACTAAGGTGGATAGAAAGGTAAGATTGTTCAACTGGTCATTATTCATAGGCTGGTAGCTGAGCATAAATGTGTAGTATGGCTAAGGCTATAAGTTAGGCCATTCAATACAGCAGAAGCACTTACTTGCAATATTTATTACAATAATCAGGTGAAGAGAGAATCATTGTGAATGGCTTGGTTCATAACATAATGGGGTGTTTTGTACTACACTGCCAAGTAATATCCCAGCCGTACTTCCCAAACAAGGGGTCCATCCACTCATTCTTGTAACAGTAGGATTGCACCACTCAATGAGGACATCTCCAGTGGCTTAGGACTTGGGAAGCAAGTGTTCTCCCATAGTCCACTAGAATATAAAAGGTTGGAAGAATCAACATGAGTGAGAACACTGGAGAGATGTCCAGATTGTGTCATCAAACACAGTCATCTGGAATTAAGACTCACATTGAGAGATAGTGTAATGGATTACCACAACTGAAGACAACAGATGTGAGAGGAGTTACATACTCAGTGCAGTATTTATTTTATTTTTACACAAGTGCAAAACAGCCTGAAGATAAAATATATATATACATTGCCAAAGAAGTCTTGTGGAAAACCCCATCTCAATAGTGGGCACTGAACAGGTGACTGCTAGACTGGAAAAAGAAATAAGAAAAATATACAACTCACATTAAAGCCAGTGTGAAAAGTGGAAAATGGTGAAAAAGCCAAGGTAGTAAAACATTCCCATGGTTGAGTAATGTGACACTAATGTGTTGAGGTTGTCTAGATCCCAGCACATACATTGTGGGGGATGTAAATGGCTAGAGGCAAAAAAAGGTGTGAGATGACAAACAGAAAGAAGGGAGACATGAATAATAAAAAAAGGGTCATCACCCATAAAAGAAGAAACTAGCCACATGGGATGTATAACCAACCAGGCAAAGTGAAAGGAGGTGAATGTCTAGAGAAAGAGGATTTCAACAGTAAGAAAAGACAATAACAAATGCCCTAAAAAAGGCCATACAAGTGATATTGTTACGCATCTGCTTGTTTGTTAATTTCCCACAGAAATTCTTTCTGAGAAACTTCAGCAGTACAAGTCCTTTCT